CCATTAAAAACAGTTATTGTGTGTGTGAGGCTTAGTCATTCAGAATAGAAAAGCTAATGTGTCAACACTTAGTTATATATCACTGTTATCATCAAGTGTCATATCTTCATTGATGTCACTCCAATTTATGCTTTCTGTTGGAGATCTTAAGATCATGATGCATGCAGTAGTACTGTCTTTTTAAAAATTCTTCTCTTCTTCTTTATTTGCTCTTTTAGGTATTCTCTTTTTGTTTGTGCACAATATGATATGTTGTCATAAGGTATTCTCTTTTTGTTTGTGCGCAATATGATATGTTGTCATCAGGTATTCTCTTTTTGTTTGTGCGCAATATGATATGTTGTCATAAGGTATTCTCTTTTTGTTTGTGCGCAATATGATATGTTGTCATCAGGTATTCTCTTTTTGTTTGTGCGCAATATGATATGTTGTCATAAGGTATTCTCTTTTTGTTTGTGCGCAATATGATATGTTGTCATAAGGTATTCTCTTTTTGTTTGTGCCCAATATGATATGTTGTCATCAGGTATTCTCTTTTTGTTTGTGCGCAATATGATATGTTGTCATCAGGTATTCTCTTTTTGTTTGTGCCCAATTTGATATGTTGTCATCAGGTATTCTCTTTTTGTTTGTGCGCAATATGATATGTTGTCATCAGGTATTCTCTTTTTGTTTGTGCGCAATATGATATGTTGTCATCAGGTATTCTCTTTTTGTTTGTGCGCAATATGATATGTTGTCATAAGGTATTCTCTTTTTGTTTGTGCGCAATATGATATGTTGTCATAAGGTATTCTCTTTTTGTTTGTGCGCAATAGGATATGTTGTCATCATGTATTCTCTTTTTGTTTGTGCCCAATATGATATGTTGTCATAAGGTATTCTCTTTTTGTTTGTGCGCAATATGATATGTTGTCATAAGGTATTCTCTTTTTGTTTGTGCGCAATATGATATGTTGTCATAAGGTATTCTCTTTTTGTTTGTGCGCAATATGATATGTTGTCATAAGGTATTCTCTTTTTGTTTGTGCGCAATATGATATGTTGTCATAAGGTATTCTCTTTTTGTTTGTGCGCAATATGATATGTTGTCATAAGGTATTCTCTTTTTGTTGTGCGCGCAATATGATATGTTGTCATAAGGTATTCTCTTTTTGTTTGTGCGCAATATGATATGTTGTCATAAGGTATTCTCTTTTTGTTTGTGCGCAATATGATATGTTGTCATAAGGTATTCTCTTTTTGTTTTTGCCCAATATGATATGTTGTCATAAGGTATTATCTTTTATTCTTTTTCCTAATTGTATCTTTTCCAGTCATTCCTGCAGCCCTTCTCAGACATCTTATTTCTGTGGCTACTAATTGTCTTGTCTGATTTGCCGTCATCAAATTAAAGAAAGACATATATTACAGGAAAAGTAGCAGAAGACTGACTTTTCTGGATATGGTCTTGTGGCAGAATTGCTTACAATACCGAAGTGCTAACCTGGCATATGTTGCTGTGCGGCATGGGTAACAGAACATTGACCTCACCAACTTCTTCCTCTCAGAAAGGTATGTAGTTGTGGTTAATAGAGTTATTTTGTTTTAAATTCTTTTTGTTTTTTTCCATTTCTTTTCCTTCTTCTCCTACTCCTCCGTCTCTTCCTCCTCCTTCTCTTCCTCCTCCTTCTCTTCCTCCTCCATCTCCGAGTGGAGAAGAAGCCCTCAAGCAACTTCTGCTTACTCATTGCTTAGATTTTGCAGAGAGGATTTCTCTGTGATGAGGTGACCAGCAATCTGATACCAGTCTTCCTTAGCCACCTCTTATGACATGCATGAAATATTGCAGTGTTACTATTCTTGACTGCCCTTTTAGGACCAGTTACTTAAAGGTAACTGTTTCTTCTTAGCATTCACTGAATGTAAACGCCGGCGGAAAGTTCCTATTTTTCTTCGACTTTTGGTGTTTAGTCTTGTTTCAAATTTAAATTTTGCGTGCACACCCGTTTTACAGATCTAGTTTATTTGTATAGCAGATTGTTGTTTCCTCACTTCTCAGGCAGATGTGCTCCGACTTCAGAGGGAAATCCTCTCATTAGTCACCTTTTGTGACATGCTTGTTGAGCATGCAGTGGGTCCCCATCCCCCCCCAGCCCCCCCCACCAGTGGGGCCCTGGAACACACACGGGGGAAGACAAAGATAACATTTCTGTTTATAATTTTTTCTCATGTTATATTTACATTTCATTTGCTACTTGGTAGAGAAAATATATTTTTCAACTGTAAAAAAAATTTTATTTTGATTTTTTTAATTTCTTTGTTCTTTATCTCGTATCTCTTTCCCCTCACTCTTTCATTCTGGGTGTTTATGTGTCTGTTCATGTCTCTCATCGTCTTCTGTCTTCCTGCATAAAAAAGAAAAAAAAAGATCATTGCTCTTTTTAATGGTCATTTCCCTTTCTCTTTCTAGCATTTGTTGTGCTTTCTAATTTTTATTTTTTAAATCTCTGGAGCTTGGGCTAAGATCCTCCTAGTGTCATCTGACAAAGGAGAAGATCTGAACACAAAAAGGATAGTTTCGAGTGCAGGGAAAACAGTTCCTGAATGCAGTTAATCAATCAATCATCTTGCCAATTTTTTCTACCTTGCTGCTTTCATTTCCTGTCACCATTGTTTTCATTCTTGTTTTGCCCATGTTCCCACAGGGCTGTATGGCCTCTGTGATGGGTTTAGTTGAATTGAGTTAAGGACTGATACCGCAGCACTCAGGACATTGCCACATGCGAGCTGTCCCTATCTTTAGCAGCCAGTTCAGTGAGTTTAATTTTAATTTAGCATATCCTTTGCAGAATGCTGCTTTTATCAGTGTACTGGAAATACTCTGAGTCAGTTGCTGGTTACCCTTTCTCATAAATGTCATCCTAAAGGAATCCTAGTATCTTGTGTTCATTTTCATAGTGGTTGACACCTGCCTTTTCCTCTGACCGGGATTCTTCTTCTTCTTCTTCGCGTTCACCAGCTGTACACTCTGGCATAAAGTTCTGGTTGTTCGTCCACTTCTGGACTGCAGTCATGCTCTAGAACCTGAATGTTGCGTGTGCAACAGTTTTACAGATCTGATTCAATTGAATGCAGACTGCTGGTTCCCTGCCTCTTAGGCAGATGCACTCTGACTTCAAAGGAAGCTCCCCAGTTAGTCGACTCTTACGACAGGCTTTTGGGGAGGCAGTGGGTCTATTCTTGTTTTCCCCCACAATAGGGCCGCAGAACCCACACGGGGGGACTGAGATTCATACCCTCCATCCTTCTATGACTCCATATGACTTTTTTTTTGTCCCGATCATTTGTAATTTTACCTCATTCTGTCTCTAGGATTTGAGCTTGAAAACAATAAACACTTGTGGCCTGAATGAGTTGACCAGAGACTGTGGGGCAGAAGTAATTAAACCAGCGGTTGAGCTCAGGTCCTTTACACAGCCCAGCTGAAAGAAGCTCAGTTTCCTGCCAGCTCTCCTACCTCATGCAGTTTTCTGCTTTCTGCCCAAAGTATCTTCTCTGTTCTTGCCCACCTCGGGAAGGGGTAGTTTATTATATTTGATGCTTTAAAACACTATGCTGTCAGTGCCAAATGTGGATGCTTATATCCTTCAATGAATGTAAAATTGTGACAACAGGGATGAAATGCCTTAGAAGAGCTGCAGGAGTTTCAAGGAAAGACAGAATACAAAATCACGAAATCAGACGAATGCTAGGAATAAAGCCAGTCTTTCAGGTCATCAAAGAGCAACAGATGAAATGGTTTGGACACCTAACAAGAATGCCCTGGTACTATCTGTCACAGTGAGCCACACTAAAATGTTACAACGGGTATAGAGCGAGTGGAAGACCTTGGAAAATATGGAGTGATGGCATTAAAAACAGCATTACAAAAATGATTATCAGCCTTAATGGTGTTCTTTACAGAGCTCATCAATGAATGTTACATCTCCACCCGTCACTTTGATGGGGTACAAGTTTGAAGAGAAGAAGATGGATTACCGTGTTCATGTTTATCATTTACCCCTTTCAGAAATCTTTATATATTTTGAAACAATTAAAAAATGTAGATTAATAACATATCAGAAAGTGACAGCTTGTCGTGTGATGAGAAGGAGAAAACTGGAATACATCGTGACAGTTGGAGAGGAGGAGAGGCAGAGGGAGACCGAGAGAAAAGATGCTGGACAGTTTGACACAATGGCATGGAGGATGGATCATCTATATCAGAGTTAATGGATAGTACATGAAAAAGAAGGTTGTGGATAGACAATACTACCAACACCACATGGCATGGACTTTAAGAAGAAGAAGTAGAAGATTAATACATTGTTTATGAATTTATTCGTGACTCATGTACAATTGTCAGTTTAAAAAAATTATTATTTTGTTTACTGATTATTTTTTGGAATTAAATTGTGTCATGTTTTATTATGCATGTTCTTGGGAGGAAAATAGTTACTTTCATCATCCTCTTGTGCCGTTAGATGTTTCTTTGGGCTCCCAGTTTATCCTTTTATTCTGTTCTATCCTGTGTAGTTGTTTCAGTATCATGGATGGGATCCAGTGCAGGACCTTTGACCACAACTTATCAATGTTAGTCTTATTTATATTGAATGCTTCTCAGTCAATTTGTTTCCCATTTGAAGTTCTTTTTGGTGATTCTCTGTTTGCTTCTCCTCAGGCAGTGTCCAGTCTACGATCATCTTCCTTGTCTGATAACTGTTAATATCAGTGATTGTTCAGACCTTTCTCTTATTTCTTCACCTGTCTTGAATTCATGCCAGTTTAACTGTCATTAGTTTGCTTAGGTTCTTGATTCAGCTGTCCTAAAAAATCCATTATCTAGTATATGTGGAACTCCTTGCACATGTCATACACGTAGCAGTATATTCTGTGAGATAACTTTGTTTCTGTGGTTATTTCTTTAATCTCTTGACACTGTGAGAAAACTTTGCTTTTGTAATCTCTTGACCCCTAGAATGAGTGCGCCCCCAAAGGCTGAAGACTTACGAGGATGGCTGAAGCGCAAGGGAGGACGTATGAAGACTTGGTCCCGTCGTTGGTGCGTCCTGACAGACAAGTTCCTGTTCATATTTCTGCGGGAAGATGATCGGAGAAGTCAGGACTGTATAACCCTCAGTGGGCAGCTCATCGTGGAGCCACCTGCTGATCCTGCAGATACTTGCCGTGGTTATTTTGACATTGTCACTGGTCAGTTGTGTGTGTGTGTGTTTTTTTTTTTTTTTTTGCTTTTAATTTTTTTTTTACACTTCACATAACTGTTGCTTAGGAACTGTAGGAGCATGGTAGTTAGTGCACATGTTTATCAAGTCACTGGTCTCTGTTCAATTCCTAGCAGTGATGAGATTATTTTTTCGGGCATGCACCTGTGTTCGAAATAAACAAGCAGCAGACTGGCTGGTTCTGCACCAGGATTGGGGGGGGGGGGGGGGGGGGGGGGGGGGGGGGGGGGGGGGGTACTGATGCATGACAAGCTAGATGTGGTCAGGGCCCTTTGGGAGCAAGTTCAGAATTATCTTGCTGTGCCATAATGTGCCTCAAAGGGTTCACAGGCACAAATAGATCATCACGGTCTGGAGAGAATGGTGCAGCTTGGAGTGGCCATGGGATCTGGTCAACAGTCTACACTCAGAGGAGAGGCAAGAAGGACGTATAGTCAAATTGCTGCTGGCACCATTTGAATTGGGACTCTTCACTGGCTGCTGAAGTTGAGGACGCAGCGCTTATGGGAATATTCTTAGTGCTGCGATGTCAATTCTTCACTTAACAGCAACTCAACTCAGCTCAACTAGAGTGTGGCTTAGCAAAGATTAGTCTAAACACTGCCATTGCTGCCTGTATATACTACTTTTACTCAGCAAAGATTAGTCATGGTATAAACACTGCCATTGCTGCCTGTATATACTACTTTTACTTAGCAAAGATTAGTCATGGTATAAACACTGCCATTGCTGCCTGTATATACTACTTTTGCTTAGCAAAGATTAGTCATGGTATAAACACTGCCATTGCTGCCTGTATATACTACTTTTACTTAGCAAAGATTAGTCATGGTATAAACACTGCCATTGCTGCCTGTATATACTACTTTTACTTAGCAAAGATTAGTCATGGTATAAACACTGCCATTGCTGCCTGTATATACTACTTTTACTCAGCAAAGATTAGTCATGGTATAAACACTGCCATTGCTGCCTGTATATACTACTTTTACTTAGCAAAGATTAGTCATGGTATAAACACTGCCATTGCTGCCTGTATATACTACTTTTGCTTAGCAAAGATTAGTCATGGTATAAACACTGCCATTGCTGCCTGTATATACTACTTTTACTTAGCAAAGATTAGTCATGGTATAAACACTGCCATTGCTGCCTGTATATACTACTTTTACTTAGCAAAGATTAGTCTAAACACTGCCATTGCTGCCTGTATATACTACTTTTACTTAGCAAAGATTAGTCTAAACACTGCCATTGCTGCCTGTATATACTACTTTTGCGGTGCAGGCAGGATGGATCTTTGAGCCTGAAAAATGTAAGGCCATATAGCTAGCGCTGTTACCACAGACGGTGAGGATGTTATTTATGCTCCTGTCAGAAAAAAGTCCTGAGCCTTCCCCGAAGATTTAAACCCTGGTCTCCCACTAGAAAGCACAGTGTTCTAACCATTCAGCCCAGCTGCTGGCAATGGTATAACTTACTGTAATATTCATGTGCTACCAGGACCTATAATGAATCATATGAGTATGATAGAAACCTATCAGTATTGTTGTTGAGGATGTCAGGAGTGTTAAGCATAAGAGTGCAGTCGAAGGGTGATGTCATAATGACAGTTTCAAGATGGCCGCCCACTGTCTTACTTTTAAGGTTTTCATTTTAAGCCATATAGAATAGTAACACTGCAGTCTATCTTGGAAACCTTGTTCTCCAAAAGCCTGTAAATGAATCAGTGAAAGGTAACATTGTGACACAATATGGCACATATATTTCATTTGTAAATCAATCAGTGAATGGTAACATTGTGACACAATATGGCACATATATTTAATTTAAAAAAAAAATTCTATGCTGTCTCTATAATGAAAGGTGGTTGGTTCCCTTGCACCCACTGTAGTCTTTGGGAATATTACATGATGAGAGTCATCAAGCTCTTTCTTGGTGCAACTCTTGTATTACTGTCCAAAAACCGTTGAGAATGGTCTTTAAAAAAAAAAAAGCCATCTACCATGGAAATTGGACCCTAGTACTTGAGAATCATGAAATTAGTTAAAACACATTCACTAGCCTCACTAGTTATTGTTCAATAAATATGCTTAAGAAATCCAGGCTGGATTTCTGAATAAGAAGGGGTTGCAACTCTAAGCACTTCACAAATAGTTGGCCTAACCTTCATCTTTGTGCCAGGTCATGTGGGTCTTTGAGGCAGCGAGTGTGCAGATCATCTTGCAGACACTGTGGTTGCTATTGCTGTTCCGGTACTGGAGAGAAGTGATGTTATCAGTGCCATAAATAGCATTTACCGCAAAGACAGTATGGCAAAGGGCATGACTCTGTGTCTCTGTCTAGGCTGATGGACATAGGGAGGTGGTGAGGTGCAACCTGGAGCTGCAAGAAATGAACATTTCACCACAAGATGTTTGATTAATCAACACAGAAGAGTCGTCTTCAGCCATTTCACACTTGTGGAGCTTTTGAGGAGGAAATCAGAGCATCTATGGAGCTGTCTGGAGTGCTGTGATAATAATCCTCACTACTCAATCACTAGTTATTGTATTCTATGCTGTAGTGGTTTTTGTTTTGTTTTTAATAACAGTCCAAACTGTTAACACTGGAGACAAATTAGGTCTACTTGAAGCCTGAATCGAACGCACTAACCTCAAACATACTCTGGCCAGGCCCACAGTGAAATAAACTAAACTGTTCTCTATGTTACCTTGAAATTTGTTTCTCTTAAATATGTTTTTTTTTAATCATAAGCAAAAGCGTACTTTTAAAAACTGATAACACTGAAAAAACTGATGTTGAAATATGCACATTTGGCAGAGTATGGCAGAGGAATCACAGAGACACTCTCGTTATGTGCAGAAACAGAGGAAGACAAGAATGTCTGGATGAGAGCGTTGAAGAGAGCATTATATGCAGACAAGGGAGGAGGTAATGTTAGTTTTGATTCATTCATGTCATGGAAGTTTCATTTTTTATGCTACGCATAACACTGGACAGATAAAAATGGTAATCAAGATGTCTTGAAAGAAATTGACTCATGAAGAGAACTGATTGCCCACATCAGACAGAGACAATCTACATTTTTTGGTCATTTGATGAGAAGGAGAAAACTGGAGTACATCGTGACAGTAGGAAAGTTGGATGGGAGGGAAGGTGGAGGGAGACTGAGAAAAAAGATGCTGGGCAGTTTGACATCATGACAGGGAGTATTATCTGTATCAGAGTTAATTGAAAGCACACGAGACAAAAGGTTAAGGATAGACATGACTACCAATGCCACACGGCATGGGCTTTAAGAAGAAGAATAACACTGATGTTAATCCTTTTGCTGCTATGTACTTCACCAGAGAACGTTAGCACTGTGCTGAGCAAGTTCCCCGCTGAACTTTCCCCCTGTACTGAACACTTTTCTATCCTCTAAATGCAAAAGATAGGTCGGTGGTGATAGCTCTGTTTTGTACATCCGAAAAATATTTACCCCAGGTAAGTTGGTGATGGCCCGAGTGCTGTCAAATTAGACACACTATGGCGACGCCAAAAAACACATTAACAGAAAGGAAACACTAGAAACTAGACTTATTTGCCCAGCTTCACTCGGGATAATGAAAGAAAATGTATCCTAGGCTAAGTCTTTCTTTGTTTCCACCACTATCACACATGTAGTAGAAACTCCACGGCAGAGGGAACACAACAATAGCCTTCCTATCATCAGCAGGAACATGCTTTGAATGTTTCAGCCGCTTTACATCCTTGCAGTTGGATATTGCAAGACAATTGTTATTCTTCCAGCTTCTGCTTCATCATCGTGTAAACCATTGCCATGTGTTTAGTCATTGCCCCGAGTGCATCTGTGGCTCTTACCTTCCCAGGGCCCATTCAACCACCCCACCAACTTGAACGACAAATCTACGACTCTCTTACGTGAAATGTCAGTCCCTCTAAATTTGTGTTGAGAATTTACTGGAGATGCTGTGATAATAATGAAGCTTCACTGCCTAGAAAAAGCTGATGAAAGTAGACAATTAGAAGCATTTATAAAACTAGCTGGTGTTTTTTAATGGTAAGAAGTGGGATGGGGAAAATCAACAGGCGAAGGCAACCCTCTAGAAATGATGTTAGATGGTCTGAGAAGATGGTATAGAGGAAAATCAGGTATAGAACTGATTTAGACTTCAAAAGACTGAGATGAACACCTCTGCTACAGGGCAAGGCAACTGATGATAATGAAAAGGACCTTCTTCCACACCTTCAGGCATATTGGGCATATAGGGCTAGACCTACATTTGATTGACCAGTCGCACTTGCTGGGTGATGTGGTCAGTATCGCTATTACTTTCCCAGATTTTACCTGGTACCCACTCAAGGTTGTGTCGACCTGGGAGCCAAGGTCATTTTGGAAACAAGTCCCGCTCCGTTCTAATGAAATGAAGTTTAACTATAAACAGACCAAAAACTAGTTACTGTGTTTACCACTTTTGCTGTTTAGGGATGGGGATCTTTGAGCCTGACAATTAGGGCTGTCTGGCTAATGCAGTTGCCACATTCCCAAGCCTCCTTCATGAGAACCCAGCATTCTCAAGCCTCCTTCATAAGAACCCAGCATTCCCAAGCCTCCTTCATGAGAACCCAGCATTCCCAAGCCTCCTTCATGAGAACCCAGCATTCCCAAGCCTCCTTCATGAGAACCCAGCATTCTCAAGCCTTCACTTAGCCGCTGCTCAAAGCTTCCCCACAGTGTGCAGTAATTCTTTGATGCATGTTTCAGCCTTGTTCTGCCAGTCCCTTGAAGAAATCTTGTACTGGGAGCGTCTTGCCGGTCGACATATACCATACATTGTCGATGAATGTGTTGAGTATCTGTACAAATATGGGCTGGATGTCGAGGGCATATTTAGGTTTGTACTATTCTTCAAGCTTAGTTTGTTTTTAAAGTGAACTGTAGAAAACATTGCTTAGAATACAATGAACTAAAATGCTTCCAAAGTAAGAGAAGTCCTGTAACAGATGCTGACAGTTTCTTTGTCTTCCTCTGTCTTTTTTATCTAGTATGTTCCCACGTCAGGTTAATTGATTTCTTTAATGAATCTCTTCTGTTGGTATTGACTCATAAATTTATCTTTTCCTTATGGTTTTAAATCTTTCAGCACCAAGAAACAGTTAAATTAGTTATAAATCTCACTGTGTGGTTTCAGGGCCCTATTTAGGGGAGGGGGAGGAAGACGGACGGAATAGACTCACTGACCCTCTAACAAAAATGTCATAACAATGACTGATTAGCGCAGTGGCTCTCAACCTTTCTAATGCAGTTTCCTCATGTTGTGTGACCCCCTAAACAGGGTGATGTCATAGTCAGAGCGCATGTGCCTGAGAGGCAAGCAACCAAAAAAGTGTCTGCATACAAACAGGTCAGATCTGTGAAACGGAAGTGAGCACAAAACTCAAGTACTGGAGCTAGACCAAAGTCCAGAAGTGGACGAACAATGCGAATATTCCGCAGGAGTTTACAGCCGATAAAGGCTCAGAAGAAGAAGAACTTATAAATCGGCACATAATGTGCTATTCTTGTTGAATAATCTTTAATGATAAAATTAAATTTATATTATAGATTACTCACTAACTAGATGCTTTGTAACTTATTAATGCCTTAAAAATGAAATGTCTTATATAGATTAATCTTGAGGTCAGCGTTGAGGAGCATTGTCTAGATTTACTCTCCAGGTATGCTGGTGTGTTGGGAAATGAATGGGATGTCAGATTGGCTGGCTCTGCACAACTGAGTGGAATATTTAACTTATGGGAGGATATGTGCAATTTGGAGGAGCAAATAGATCATCACAGTCTGGTGTAAGTGATGCATCAAGGAATGATGAGGGGATCTGATCGATATTCGGCGCTGATAGGAAAGGCAAGACAGCCATATAATCAGTGTTGCTGGTACCATTAGTAGTATATGTCTGCACTGGCTGCTGAGGATAGGGATGGACGGCTTATGGGAAATGCCCCGAGTGCTGTGATGTTGGTTCTTGAATCAACTCAACTGATATAAATTACTCTTGACATGCTTGGTAATTCATTAAAGTCTTATTTTAAAATAAAATTTCTGCTATCTGTTACTCTCTGCATAATAATTCATTAATGCTTATTTTTTAATGAAACGTTTTCTACAGATCACTCCCTAACTATTGCTTGGTAATACATTATGCCCTTTTTTGAAATGTCTTGTATTTAATGTCTTGCATTTTTACCTTCTACATGCTTTGTAATACACTAATTCCTTTCAGGGAACTATCTTGTGCTGATTACTCTCTGCTTCCTTGGTAACACATTTTTCTTCTTTTGCCATCCTACTGTTAACCAGGTTGTAGCCCAGTGGTATGGTTTTCTATAGTCTTGCACTTCTCAGGTGGCTTAGGTGATTGATTTAAAAAAAAATATTTGCAGGTTTCAGCTACACTATTTATCCATCTCTTTCTTGGTCTTCCCTTGCTTTCTTCCCAGATGTTCTGCTGTAAAATATCTCTTATGCAGTTTGGTCTGGCTGCATTTTCATTAGATGGCCGACCAGTTTCATTCTTTGTCTTTCAGTATAATTCAGACATGTTCTTATTCCTACTTTATTTGCTGGGGCCGTGTTAGCACAGTCGATAGGAGATTCGCTTTCAAATTCAGCTGCAACTCGCTGCAGCCCACAGCCGGTGTTTGAATCCGGGCGGTTCCCGGGGTTCACCCAGCATCAAGGAAATGGGTACCAGAGTTAACACTCTAGGGTAAATTGAGGAATGTCGCTGTAGCTGCTGAGTTTCGTACCGAGAGCGACACAGATGGACAGTTTCTTATCAGCTGTCCATACTGGTGGCAGAGCCCTTATGGTTTATAACCGTGTGCAATGACGCTGGTTCACATCTCCCAACTTTACCTTTTTTTTTTTTAATGCTGGTATTTGTAACTCTGTCCCTCCTTGTGTCATGATTGACCTTATAGGGACAGCACATTTCACAGGTTGTTATTGTCTTTTGTGGTGCCCTGTTCATTATCCATGTTTGGCACTGATAGCTAGTAACACAATAATTCCTCAAAATGAAATGTCTTTTATAGATTACCTGGACGCCAGTCAGCAGCTAAAGATATCATCAGCAGATTTGAGCGTGGACAGAAGATCACATTTGAGGAGGAAGGCACCGATGTTCACGTGGTTGCATCCGTTCTGAAAGCATTTCTGAGAAGTCTTCCAGATTCTCTCATTCCTTGTCACTTATTTCAGAAGTTCATGAACATTGCTTTGCGTTTCACTGAAGCAAAAGATGAAATTTCCAGAAACATTTCTGTACAGGAGTTAGCAGACGCATTGAAACTTCTTTCAAAGGACAGTTACACCATATTGAAATACATATGCCGATTCCTTCAAGTGGTAAGCCATTTCTGACAATTATTTTGGAAATCTTTTTTGCTTTCACTGGCTGTAAACTTTTTCAGAAAGTTCTGGTTGTTCGTCCACTTCTAGACTTTAATCTTGATTCAGAATTTGAGTTTTTCACGCACATCGTTTTAAAAATGTGGCTTATTTGTATGCAGACTGTTGGTTCCTTGCCTCTAGGCAGATTTACTCCAACTTTGAAGGAATTCCCTAATTAACCTTGTTTGTTAGGGAGGCAGTGGGTCTGCTGTTTTTCCCCCCCCAACAGTGGGGCCCTGGAATCCACTTGGGGATATTTTGGAAATCAAAGCAGTGTTTCCATCCTGTAAATTTGAAAAAGAAAAAAATTAAGAAAAAGTACACACAAATGATAGAGTGCACGATTTATTGCCTGGCATATTTAGCTGTATCTTGTCAGGTGTGTGCTATAGCACTCAGTTAGTTTTGTGTAAACAAAAGGACATATTTTCTCTAATATAACAGGAGATCATCGGGCGTAATGGATTTTTGTGCTTCAGCTAAAAATATTTATATATCTGCTTTGTCTTTTTTAATTATTTTACAGAAGTGAAATACAGTAGAACCTCACTTTACGAGCACCTCTCATAACGAGTAATTCGCATAACGAGCAAAACAAATTGTAAAAAAATGACTCGCTTAACGAGCGACGTTTCGCATAATGAGTGATGAGGAGAGGGGAAGTCCCGAATTGTGGGCATGTTACATTAGTCGGTGTTTAGCACTCCTTCCAGTAGATCGTAGGGTCGCTTGTGATCACTTATTTTCTCAAACTTGTGTTATATTGTGATATATGTACACGAATGATCCAGGCCTACAAGATGACCTCTCTGAAGAATTTAAGTTCATAAAGATCCTGTTTTGCCTTTCAACACCACTCCGTTACTCCAGCTCATGGACCAACAAGTTATTTCTAACTTTAAGAATCTCTACACTAAAGCACTCTTCGAGCATTGTTATCATGTGACTGAAGGGGCCAACCTCACTCTTAAAGAATTTTGGAAAAACAACTTCCACATCGTTGCCTGCCTCAAGATAATCGACAAGATGGAGGAAGGGGTAATCAAGAGAGCCCTAACTTCTGCTGAGAAGAAGCTTTGGCCGGAAAGCGTTGTAGATTTGTAACTTTGAGGAGTTCGAGACAGTACCTGTGGTACCTATAGTCAATGAGATTGTGTTTTTGGCCACTATCATGGGATTGGAGGTGGATAACAGTGATATCGAAGAGCTTGTGGAAGAGCACAGCCAAGAGCTGACCACCAAAAAGCTTATGGAGTTGCATTGTGTTTGACAGCAAGAAGTTTTGGGAGGGAAAGTTTGTCAGAGGATGAGGAGGAGGCAACAGAAAAGCAACAATTTTCTGGCAAAATAAAAGAAATGCTGAAAGCATGGCAAACTGTTGCATCTTACATTGCGAAGCATTACCATGATAAGGAAGTTGCTATGAGCGTTGCAAATTTTTTAAATGAAAATGCTGTGTAGCATTTTCGCCAAATTTTGAAGCGTCTGTAAAAACAAATGTCTCTGGACATCTTTCTAGTAAAAAAATAAAATAATTAGCTATGAATCCTAATTATTTCGACTTTTTTCTTTCTGCAAATCGAATTCGCATTCCAGGTGGGTTCGTTCTGCGTTTGAAGAAAAAATGAAGATAAATTTACTCTCCCTAACAATATGTGAAATTTATGCAAGAGACAAAATTGCTGATAAAGGCAACTTATTTCAGGTGAACGAAAGAAGAAGAAGGTGATGGAGGAAACAGTTTCCAGAAAACAAGGCAGATGCAGATCTCCGCAATGTGGATATAAGACATTGAAGATGGATTGGCAATGAAACCTTATAAGGCTGGAGAATTGAGAAGAGAAAGAGATACTTTCAGGTGTGCCGTGACGAGAGAAATGTTCTGTTGATTGATGTTGATGGGTGCCATATTAATGACATCATCTCTTGTGTATGATTGGTACAAAAATATTAGGCTGGGACTGTACACCCAACATGCTGTTAGTTTGAAAAGGATCTTTTTGATATTTCATAAACCATGCATGAATGGTCAATAACGATGGATCAAATCATTCTTTGGTTGCTTTGTGAGAAAAGAGGATCTCAAGAATGTTATGACAGAATGATTGAGTGTACACCCAGGGCAAGAGACGGAGACTGCTGCACCCAACAGCACCTGATTGCTTGATGATGTGCAATCTATCTTCTTCCTCCTCCTCCTACGCCTCCTCTTCTCTATTCCTCCTGAAATTGTCATTGAATTCCTTGATGGCGTGCAATGACTCCTCCTCAATTTTCTTTATCTTTTTCTTCTTCTCCTTTGTTTCCCCTCAAAAGATTGTGTTGTTATTTACAGCTAGGCTATGATATCTGTGCTTTTTAGCACAGCATGCTTGTTAGGCTGTGGTTCTACTATTGTTGCTTTTCCCCACAAGTGAGCAATGTCTCCTGTGATATTCTTTACCATAATGTGTGTTATTTTTTTCAATTCATTATGTTTCATTTGTTTAATGCTGATGTAAACTTCTACTGTTATTGCCAGGTTGGACAACATGAACCAACCAATAAAATGTCCATGATGAGTCTCGGAACTGTGTTCAGTTATAATATTCTTCGCCATATTGACAAGGAGAACAACTACCTGTTTCTCCTGACAGCAGATCTTGGCCAGAACCTTGTCTACATGCTGCTGAAATATTATGCACAGGTTTGTGTTTGGTTTTCCCCCCATGAATATTTTGTAACTAGATGTTTTCTACCTGTAAAATGAAATAAAGGAACTTTTTTTAATGCGAGTGGTGCCTTGGTCATATTATATAATACTCTCATGTTTATAGGCCAGTTGGGATTTGATAGGGGATATGGTGAGCATCACACTGACATGGGGAGTTGCAGTTCTAATATTTGGAAAGTATAGTCAGTTCTTCGGTATGATTATTCAGATGATGAAAGACCTTCAAAAATAAGGCGGGTATGCAGGCAGGTCTTAGCTAATTGGAAACAACTGATCCAGGATAGTTGATTGGAAATCTTTTGGAAGGCTAGATTTTAAGTCTTGAGTTTGATGCATTTATGTTCAGCCTGTTTGAGATCTGACAAATTGTCAACACCCCCCCCCCCCCCCCCCCCCATTTCTCCTCACCCCTTTCTCAGAAAGTAACTAGTATGCAGGGGGAAAACAATGCTTAGATATCCAGAGAATTTGACGCTTTGATGTAGTGCCTTATTGCTACTTTGTTGTCAATCCCCAGGTCTTTTCACAAGAGCACAGGGACAAGGAAGAATCAGAACATGAACACTGTGGTAAAGACCTGTTGCGCATGTCAAATCCAGTTGATACTCCTGTGATTTTACCAAGCATCTGTTCATCTCTGTGTACTGATCAAGCACTCCAAAGTACTGAAGTATCCCGACGGGAAAACACAGGATCATATGAGGTGTGCAAAATCAGTGATGATAACATGTGGCCTTCTGGGAAAGATAAAACAGTTGATGAGCTTGATGAAGGTGCTGCAGGCAAAACATGTTTGTCTATCCTTGGATCAAAAAGCCAACATTTGGAAAGAAAAAGTCTGCATTTAAATTTGCTGAGCATTGAAGGAACTAGTCTCACAGAGCATGGGATTGCACGTTCTCACAGCAGTTCATCTCTGAGAGAAGTTTGTTCAGTCTCTCCAAGGAGGTTGAAGTCTAGAATAGCCAGAAATAGATACTTAAGTGACAGAAGAATACTTGGACCTATAACCTTGGATGCAGATGATTGGTTGCCTCGAGATAGGCACTCTCCTGGCGGTGTCAACTCTGAGGATGTTGTTATTGCCCTTGCTCAAGCTCAGGCTTCTCCACAAACGCTTGATTCACCTGGCTCTCATATCCCACGTGTTCATTCTTGTCATTCATTCAGCTTAGACATTGACCGTTCATTTGATAATTCAGGACAAGTACTGGATGAATCTCCAGTTTTTGAACCAGAAGAAAAGGCAGGTCAAGTTTCAGGCATTTCTGACCTTTTGAAGCAGGTAACCACACTTAGGGAAGAATTATCCCAGCAAAGAGATAATCACAGAGTTCAGATTGCTGTCTTGAAAGCTCAGCTCAGCGAGATGATAGAGAAATATGAACATAAGATAGAAACAGTTCAGAAAAATTACAAGTCACAAATTAAAGAGCTGGAAAACAAGCTGTCAGAGGAGAAGAAATCCTGTGCAGCCATAATTGCCGAATCAGCAGAACTGCAAGAAAAGATGAAGAAATATCAGATGCTATATGGGGAGCTGTCGTGACACAGAAGCACAAGTGTCCGCAGAGTTGAACAGTCTCAAGATAGCAGGATAGTGGACAAAAAAGGGGATATATTCTTAGAGAGAAAATAATGTGCCATAAATGGAAGCATACAAATTGGCCTAGCTTACGAATCAACCTGGTACAAGTCAACCTGGCGAACATTTTTGTGTCAGTATGCCAGATATGTTCCCCAAACACAGGTTTAGTTGGACATATTTGTGACTGACTGCTGAAGGTACAGTAAGTAAGTGGTGTCCAGGGATTGCCAGGAATCCTGTCCCACTTGTTTACAATAAGGTGGACAAGGTTTGCCTTCTTTACCTGCCATATCAGTCGACTCCTAGTTTTAAACATTTTTTTTTAGACTTGGAAGCTCGACTGATACCCCACAATTTGCAGGAAATGTGAATTTTAAGATAAGATAAACTCTGCCAGGAGAAATCGGGCAGAAGTCTGTTAATTCTTTCAGTCCCAAACAGTTGTACTTTAGCCCCTTTCTTTCTTAAGAACTTGAGGTTGAAGGCAATAAATATGTTTATTTGAACTCATTTAACAGGGAAACAGTGGGCCAGAAGTTGTTAAACTAATAAGTCACATACAGGGCTGATGTAAAATGTGTCTGTAACATATGACAGCAGGGGCATCATCTTATCTTTTAGAATGACCAAGACACATATGATATGTTGCTTGGGACCAAAAGAGTTAATACATAACACTGAATAGAAGATATATAATATATCACCAGTTGGCAGGTAACATAATTTGGTGTGTAAAATGATAATTTGGTTGATTACATTATACATATATTTAAAGGCCAGTTTACAGTTGTTTAAGTAATCAATGATAGATTACAGAATCATGACGCTTAAAATTTAAAAGTAAATAGGGTTAGTTTTACGTTAGTCTCCCCAAACAAAGAAGGTCATGTTTCATTGACAACTTTGTTGGGCTGGTCTACTTTCCTGGAGGTTACGTTTGTGCTGCTCTGTTGTTTACTTTCTGGGTTGTCTTGCATTTACGTTTTTCTTCCGAGAAAGAGAATGCCTGTGACATAGGTTGCAGCTCCCTCGAGGGGGGTTGTATGTTAGACCCAGTTTGTCCATGTTTTTAGAGTGTTAAAAGCACAGGTGTGCTGAAATATACAACACGTGATATCAACGGCATTGCGAAAACACTCATAACCTTGTGTAAAGGTAGCATGGCTCATCAAAATCAGAAGTGTGCTAGGTTAAAGATTGACCAATCAGAAGTGAGCTAGTGTGTAAATGGGAAGACTAACTTTAGTTTTACCGAAAATATTTTTTTCAACAATTGAAAGAGGGAATATCTTGATGTTTTATTTGAAATTTCATCTGTTTACCCATTCTGTTATCCAACCTCTTATTTTAACATTGGAAAAAGGGGATATTTTAATGTTAGATTTCGCCATTCATATTTTTAAACAATTGGAAAAAGAAAATATTTGAAAGTTTTTTTTTTAAATCAGTCTACATCAGTGGCTCTCCACCTTTCTAATACTGCGACTCTTTAATGCAGTTCCCTCGTGTTGTGGCGACTCCCAGACAATTATTTTCCTTCATAACTTGAATGAATATGTGTTTTCTGATGGTCTTAGGCGACCCAGAAGGGTCGTTCGACCCACACACACACAAAAAGAGTTGCAACTGGCAGGTCGAGAACTGCTGTTCTATATGTTCCGTTATCTTTGCCCATTGTCTTTTTTCAATAACTGAGGAAGGTGGTGTTTTATATATGCTTTTTTTTTTGGTCAGTTTATCTATTCTAGTATTCAGCCCCATTTTCAAACAACTGAAACAGGTAATATTTTAAAGTTAATTTATTTATTTATTTGATTCATCTGTGTGTTCTGTTATCCATCGCATTTTTTTCAACAACTGGGGAAAGACATATTTTTATATGTTTTTAATTTAATTTTGTTAGTTCGTCTTCCCCCTTTTTTTTTTACAATTGAAGAAGGGAATATTTTAATGACTGAAGAATTCCACGTGAGTCAAGGTGCTGCATACACAAATTTCTCGTGATCATTGTGGTTGTAGGAAAGTGTGTAGCAGATGGGTTCCGAGGCAGCTGTGCAATGAACAGAAACACACTATGCAGATGATTTGTCGGGAGCATTTGGACCATCATGCCCACGAAGGAGAGGCTTTTCTCCATTGAATTGTGACAGATGATGAGTCCTGGGTACACCGTTATAAACCAGAGATAAAGAGACAATTGATGGAGTGGTAGCACCCGGCGCCACGACCACAAAGATTCAAGACTCGGGCTTTAGCCAGGATGGTCTGCCAACCATCTTTTGGGATGTCAGTGGCCCTAAATTGACACTGTTCCAGGAAAGGGGTGAAACTGTGACTATTGCTCGTTACAATGACGTGTTAGTGAACAAGTTTAAGCCTCTGATTCGAATGAAACACTGGGATCTTCTCTGGCTCGGTGGACTACAGGTGATTAAAATATTTGTTTATTATTTTTGGGCTAAAGAAAAATAGGGTCGTTTTATACACGTAAAAATATGGTAGTTGGTTGCCTTTCTGTATATTAGTGTTTATTAACAGATGCGATGCACTATGTCATTCATACAGAATGTCTGCTTTATTTGACAGTAACAGTGTGAGGTATTTTACATCCCAAATTGAGTTACTAACAATGTGCTTTGTGTTATGTTTTTTTTTTTTCAAACCGAGCTGAAATGTGTTATCTTCTAACAAATAAATGTTATGGCTAGTCACTCTCCTAATTACCTGAATGATACCTGTTGCCAACATTGTCATGTTACTGTGCAATATTACACAAGCATTCTCATATATGCACCTTTTTTTTCCGGTCTGCCACTTTTAAATTCAGATGCGTTTTTGTTTCTATACTTTTTAATCTGCAGCTGATATTAACATGCATTTTACTTTTGTTTATTACTAATATTAAAATATATAACGCTTTGCACAAACTTTGTACTAAACATTCCACAAACTTTTGGTTAATTACCCCTCAATATTGCTGCTTTGAAATAACTTGTTTTTCTTTGTGTTGATGACTTTTGCATTGCTTAACTGAAAAATGTTGAGAAATAAACTGACTGTCATGACACGTTTCTGGTGACAGATGTCGGGGATTTAGAATAGCAGAAATATGTTAAGAGAAAAGAACAATATTAACTTCTACTTATACAAATTATTAGACATTGAGATCTGTCTACTGATAAAGACATTGAAGAAAACTAGTTCTCTCAGGCCTTAGTATTGATTGCTTTTAAGCTCAACAAGACTAAGCCTTGTTTAAGGGCCAAATAATAATTATGTTTGAATGGTAGGTAAACGAAAAGATGTATCTGAGATAATATGATATGTATAAATAAAAACTGAAAAAGAGAACTCAAGTTAGTTAAGTGTCCTTGCTTCATCGGGACAAGTTAGTTAAGTGTCCTTGCTTCATCGGGACAAGTTAGTTAAGTGTCCTTGCTTCATCGGGACAAGTTAGTTAAGTGTCCTTGCTTCATCGGGACAAGTTAGTTAAGTGTCCTTGCTTCATCGGGACAAGTTAGTTAAGTGTCCTTGCTTCATCGGGACAAGTTAGTTAAGTGTCCTTGCTTCATCGGGACAAGTTAGTTAAGTGTCCTTGCTTCATCGGGACAAGTTAGTTAAGTGTCCTTGCTTCATCGGGACAAGTTAGTTAAGTGTCCTTGCTTCATCGGTGAATCAAGAGCAGAAAAAGAAAGCACATGTGAGGTACTTAGCTTGCATGTTCCAGTGGAAGATGTTCTTGGTGGCTGTGTTCTTGTTCAGCTAGGCTCCTCCGCTGCTTACCTTTCTGTTTGTTGTGTCCAGTTCATTTTGACATCACTTGTGCTGACTGTGACAACTACTTTATTGTATTCTCACATATCTCAGCATTGGGCACCCATGATTTTTTTTTAAAAATTGCATTTGTTTACTTTAAGTTCAAGAGTATTGTTGATCGCCTTGTGTTGATATTATTTACTGGATGAGCACCTCAGTTGCAGTATTATCAGTTTATTTTTAGTGAAGCATCATAGTTTTGCTTAAATTATTATGCTACATTGGAAGTATGATGTTTTGAACTAGCATTAGATTATTTGAACTAAGAAGACACAAACAGTAGATTGCACAATTTATTGACTGGCATATTTCACTGTATCTCATTGGATGGATAATACAGTAACAGTCAGTAGCAGTTACATAAATGAAGCAAACAAGTGAATTCTTTATAACTGAAGTACATTTTCAACAGCAATCAGTTATAAAGAATTCAGTTATGTGCTTCATACAGGGAATACAACTGGGAAACATTGCTTTGACATTATATTATTGCTGCTTTTATAAAACATAGCTTGTTAATGTTAAATTCTTATTATTGTTGTAAAGTACGGATTGTAGGTGTTAATTTATTGTTGTAAAGTACGGATTGTAGGTGTTAAATTATTGTTATGAAGTTGTATTGTTGGTGTTTAATCAGTCAAGTGCCATCTTCCCAATGAAGGTTGCATGCAGTGACTATCCAACACTGACGTTTGCCTTGGTTGTACACTCTGTCAGACTGCTGCTGTTTGCCTATCTCTTGATGTTGTCTTCCCACTTTTATCGCTGTCTAGCTCTTGCCTGCTTCCATTAAGTTTTTAGAAGAGTGTGATGCCTTTTAATGTGGCTAAAATAGCTGATGGGTCTTAAGTTTTGAGCAACTCCTTTCATTCCTAGTCTCTCCAGAACATCCTTGTTACATTAGGACGACATTGTTGCTGTTATAAAGTGCAGTTTGTTGGTTTTAAAATATAAACTTTATGGATATTGTATTAGATCTATATCTCTGTTATAAATAAATTCACTTTATGAATTGACATATGTTGGTTGTACATAAGATTTTTGATAATATATATTAGGTGCTTGTTATCCAGTGGGTAGTTTCATTAAGTATTATACATTAGTATTACTACTTTAAAAGTAACGTTATCGAATTAACATTAGAG